ATAGGAGTGAAACTGCTGAGTCACTGGCTCGGTCTATGTTCATTCACTTTGATAGGAAACTTTACATTCCCACCGCCAATACAGGACACTTTAAGTTAACCCACATCCGCACCAACATTTGGTATTGTCAGTCTTTCTAATTTCAGCCATTCTGGTGGGTGTGTTACGGCAGCTCATTTGGAGTTTAATTTGCATTTCCCCAATGAATAATGATTTTGAGCGGCTTCACAGAACTTCTATATAAAGTGTCTGTTTGAATCTTATGCTTGTTTTTTAAATTGAGCTATTTGTCTTTTCATTGTTACACAATAGTTTGAAACAGAGGACTGGCCAAATCAGTTTCATGTTCCTGATGGTTCTCTCGGGCAGCTGTCTGAAAGACACACTGGGACTTGAAGGTCAGTTATGAGGTAAACGACTGAAGGGGAGGAGGTGTGGGCCCGGGCTTGAGGGGAAGCAAAGAGAATATTCCAAAGTCAAACAACACTAAGAGACTGGACTAAGAGACTGGACTGGAGTGAGGGGCTCAACAAAGCCTCTCCTCAGAAGGCCAACTATAACTCTGGCCAATCCAAGACAGCCATGTCCGGAGACAGATTTAGGTCCAGTGAGAAGAACTGGAGGCTGTGGCCTCTATGCCCCAGGCTGCTCTCATTACCCCCCCGCCCCAGGTCTGTCAGCAGCTAGTTCGACCAGAGAGGTGTGGAAAGGCCACAAAACCCTGCCACTGCCAAAGGGCCTCATGTGACTCAGAGCTACATGTGGCAAGCTCAGTGGCACGTGGGCAGGAAGAGCCGGTAGGTCCTCCAGCCTCAGCAAACCACCAAGCAGTCAACTGGCTAGGGATTCAGTACAGAGGTGAGGAGCTAAGACAGCCATAGGGGGCTTGATACACTCTCCACACAGCCTTCTTTGCCTGAAGCTGAGCACATGCCCAGCAGAGGCAGTCTGGCACTGGCTGAAGGCCAGTTGTGGAGATCAATGGAGCAGACCGAATCCAGTAACAAAACCTTACACTTGCGGTCAACCGATTTTCACCAGGGGAGCCAAGACAATTCAGTGGGGAAAGGATAATCTCATCAGCAAATTGTGCCAAGATAATTGGACAGCCACATGGAAAGGAATAGCCATACACAGATTAACTCAAAATGGAATGGCAAAGACCTAAAACTAGAAGCTAAAACTATAAAAGTTTTAGAAGATGTAAGAAAAAAATCTCTATGCCCTTGATTATTCTTAAATAGTACAACATAATTCATAAAAGAAAGAAATCAATAAATTGACGTTTATAAAGAAATAAGTACTCAACAAACAACAAGAAGAAGAAAAGGAAAAGACAGCCACAGATTGGGAAAAATATTTTCAAGATCACATACCTGATAAAGGATTTGTATCCAAATTATATAAAGAACTCATAAAAGCAAAAACACTTGGATTTTTTAAAGGGGCAAAAAATCTGAACAGACTTCACCAAAGAAGATAATAATGTAAAAATATGTTCAACATCACGTGTCATGAGGGAAATGCAAATTTAAAAAATGAGGAGATACACCTCCTAACTATTAACATGTCCCAAGTCCAAAAGAGCTGACAATTCCACTTGCTGACGTGGATGTGGAGCAACAGAAATTCTCATCTGTTGTTCCAAGGAAAGCAAGATGGTGCAACCACTTTAGAAGAAAGACAGCTCAGTCGTTGATCATAAAGTCAAAAGTGGACTCACCATATGACTCAGCAATCGTACACCCGGGTACTCACCCAAGTGAACTGAAAACTTAACGTCTACAAGAAAACCTGTATGTAAACATTTAGAAATGTTTACAGCAGCTTTATTCATAATCATTAAAAGCTGGATGCAAGCAAGATGTCCTTCAATATGTCAACAGATACGCAAAAGTAGTACATCTGGACAAGGGAATATTATTCAATGCTACAAAGAAATACACCAGTGAGCCGTGAAAAGACACAGAAGAACCTCCAAAGCATACTGCTAAGTGAAAGAAGTCATTCTGCAAGGCCTACATGCTGTATGGTTCCAATTATAGGACATTCTGGAAAAGACAAAACTATAAAGAAGTAAACACACTAGTGGTTGCACTAATGGAAACCAGATCGGGGCTCAGGAATGGGAGGGTAGCTGGGTGCAAAAGGGACACACAGAAAAACATTTCTGGTGATACAACTGCTCTGTATGGTACCTTGGTGGTGGACACATGACTATGTGCATTTGTAAGAACCCATACCTGTATATTACTAAGAGTGACCTTTAATGTATACGAGCAAAAGAATGAAACAAAGCATCAACTAGGTGGGTGGGAGATGCCAGGACGGAACGTAGACTGTGACAAGTGGATCTAACTGCATGAGAAAGGTAGGACACGGCTGCCGGACGGAGGCGGAGGACAGATAAGGGGGCTGACCCAAGTCACCCAGAAAAGTGCTATTTTGACTAGAAACTATAAGGTAAAGACACAAGAATCTACACACAAACCCTGTACTCTCAACAGTAAAGCTGTTTCTCATGGGAGCATGAGCTGACAAATCTGACTGTGCTACCCATGATACCGGAATTGAGCAAGTAAGCAAATGGTTGATGAATGGCAGGTTTCTCCCTGTCAGAGGGGGGAGTTACAGAGAAGCAAAAAAGGAAGGCCAAAATAAAGCTTTCGGCACTGGATTATAGTTGGAGTTAACTAAGAATTCATGCTGAGGTGAATGTACATGCTGATGAATAGAGAAATAATTATAGATACATGTGTATACATGGTTTGGTATACATCCATCTATTTATCGCCTACTTCTGCCCACTGAAAGGGCATAGAAGTAGCGACACCCCACAAAGTGATGAACACACTCAACACTCAGATCTTCGTTTCTAACATCAATCACTTCCGGTGAGGAAGAGAACAAGGTACTGAATAGGGTACCCAAGGAAACATTCCCAGCAGGCAACGGTGTTTCGGAAGTGAACAAGACCAAGGAAGTGGAAGAGCACCAGAAGAAGCCGGGAGAAAAGAGTGTGAGGCAGCAGATGGTCACTGGGGACCAAAGAGCAACTCAGGACTGGGAGCACACATGAGGGTGTAGACCCAGAGGACCAATGAAGAGCTGAAACTTACTGGCCTCAAGTTGCTCAGTGAAAATGCTAGGGAGTGGAGGTGGTTGACCGGGACCGGCTAACAAGAGGCGGCCAGTGTCCCCCAGGAACAAAACATGGGACTCCTGAAAGGCCAACACATATTTTCATGAGAAAAAAAAAATGTAACAGATAACCTATTATTTCACAAATAAACTCCAAAACTACAGTTGAGTCAATGTGCCTAAGACCCAAAGTTGGAAAAATACATTAATTAGGCTTGTTTTTATGCTGAAGATCATCATGTATTGAAATGAGTTTTCTCTTCCCTTGTGGCATCAGCATGTCTGCATAGAGGCGGGTGTCTGAGAATTTCATCGTGTGCTCATCATAAGCAGGTTTCAGGCTCACGCTTGTATTTTTTGCCGGGACCCCCTTTATTTTAATGATGCTTATAATGACAGACAGTATAACTTAAGCTAACAATTGATTATTCTTTAGAAGAGAAATTCAAATATGAGCCTAATTAAAGAATTTCCCAACACTTCTTCCTTGCTAAAACATGTACTGTTAATAAGGAAGCCCCCGACGTGCCATTCAGACTTTCATCCGTGTGCACACTTCCACATGCTATCGCTGCCTGCATCTCACCATCTGGAAATACCATTTGTCACCCAGGAGTAATTGGCCAATTTGCTGGGTTTGCCCTTTAAACATTCCATGTTCTTCTGACACCTGTGAGTTTCATTTAAAGGCTTTTAGAAATTTTTACTCAAGATGACATTGTCTGGAAAGGGGATTTGAAGGACAGATGTGACTACACTATCCTTTAATCAGAAGAGAACATGGTTCCATATGAAAGGCACACAGTCCCCCACAAGAAGGGAGCACGGGCTGATGCCACAGCCAGGACTGCGGGGAGCGTAGCAGGGTTACCAGCAGATGCACGCCTAACTCATGCACGCCTAACCACAGTAAGTCACAACCACAGCTCACCATCACAACAGGCTACAGCCACAAGTAGCAATCACAAATTCCAACCATAACTTATTTTGTCACATTAAATCTGGCTGATGGTCTTCATGGTAGGATCAGTTCTTGATGTGTATTTAAGATAAAAGGTTCACATCTTTGGTGGTTTGCGGGGAGGGCATGACTAGGAAGGGTCGGCATGACGGAGTTTCCTTGTGGTGATGGAACAGTTTTGTTTTCTGCATCCTGATTGGTCATGGTTACTGAAATACACACGTGATAAAATTTCATAGACCCACACGTGTACGCATGCGTGTACACACACACACACACGCACACACTGATGCACACTGAGTACAGGAACACACTGATGCAGTCCGAATCAGGTCTGTATGTGACTTAGTAACAGTCTGTACCAAGGTCAGCTTCCTGGCTTTGACAACGTACAACAGTTATGTGAGCCATCATCATCAGGGGAAGCTGGGTGAAGAGCACACAGAAATTCTCCTGAACAATTTTTATAACTTCCCGTGAGTTTTAAAGTATTTTAAACTAAAAAGGTATTTTAGAAGACACTAGACTTGCTATGGGTCTCCTAAAAAATGCTTGTCATGATGAACTTTGCTCTTCCCATCCCAAGATCCCCAGGCTGGAGGTGGGAATTGTTCCCAGTGAGTCCCCTGACCCGTGGTCACCGTACCTGGTGCTGCCTGGGCAAGAGGCACCTTGGCTTAGGGACATCAAGGGGAACATCTGGCTTTTCCAAATTGGCTTATACATTCCCGCTTGGAGTTGCACAGCCCACATTCTTCCAAGTTGTCAGCAGAATGTCTGGCAACTATCTCTCCCATCGCAGAGGCTGAGTAAGGATGGCTCACTCAACCTGGTCGCCATGTAATCACGTTTATAATGAGAATAAGGTATTTAGACGAGCCAGTGCTCCTAACTTTACCTTTGTCAGGTTTGTATTCCCCGCCACCTAATATGTCTTCAAGATCCTTGTCTGAAAAACCTAGAGAAAACAAAATACACATTTTAATTCCAAAACACCATTTACAGGGACAAAAATCTTATATTAATGTTGTCCAACATCCCCAGAAGAGGACTTCCAGTTAAGAATACCCTCGATGAATATGGTAGGCAAAACTCTCACATGGGCCCCTGATTCCCTCCAGCTAGAGTACACACCTTGTTTAATATCCCATCACTTTGAGCATGAGTGGGACCACGAATGAGGCTGCCATCACTACCCTGTGACTGGGTTAGATTAGGTGCCAAGGGTGAAAAGATTTTGCAGATGGAAATAAGATCCCAAATCAGTTTGGCTTTGTGTGAATCAAAACGGAGATTACGTTTGGTGGGCCTGACCCAATCAGATAAAGCCCTTTAAACCAGGGTGAAGCCTTCCTGAATTCCACCACTAGAAGCAACAGAGCTAGTCTTCCTCTCTGCGCTTTCCCTGGTCTCTTTCTCCTGCTGGTCTTAAAAAAGCAAGGAGCCATGAACTTGGAAGAGAACCCAACTGCAGAGGAGACCGGACCTGGCAGACACCATGATTACAGCTATATGATGCCCTGAACAGAAAACCCAGCTTAGCAGTTCCTCAACTCCTCACTCACCAAAGGAAACTGTGACTGAATAAACGGGTGCTGTGTTAACTCACTAAACTCATGGTAATTTGTTGGCAGCAACAGAAAACTAATATGAAGAAACAAAAATTTTATTCTGTATTAACCATTTAGGACACAATTTTAAATGTTCTGTGAGATGAAATGGGAAGTATGATTAAAGCATTTCTGCCATTTTTTTTTTTTATTCAAGTTTACTTACTCTGGGGAGGGCACTTGAGTGTTTCAGTTCTGAACTGCACTACCTGCTTTGTGCTATGGAATGAATGCTTTGCCTAGAAAGAATGAATGATGGCCAAACTATGGTTATGGTGTCTTGACTAGTTGACAGATGTTTCCTTGAAAATGAATAAAATGGGTGGTTACTACGAAGAACACCACTGGCAGTATCTACTGCCAATGGGAAGATTTCAAACAAAATGTGGAGTTTTGAAAACTCTATATCCACCACTCTGATCTCAGCAGCTTCCCAGTACTTAAAGACTTTATCTAAGGAGATGAGGTGATATTAGCAAATGTGAACTTGGGATACTGCGTATTGAAACAGGGGCATTATCTGGAAGTTCAAAAGCCCTCAGGACACCAATATTTCCGAATGACCAACGCATAATATGCAAAACCACAAATGAGTACAGGCACCATTAAAAGTGCAAGAGAGTCCTATGGCGTTGGACAGAATCACGTATGAAAAGTTCATCGGTATGGTCACATCACACACTGCAGTTAAATAGTAAGAAATGGCCACTGGTCGAGTTTAGATGTCTTACTAAATAAAAATATCTACAGTGATCTGAAAAGTCTATGAAAATATTTCTCCCTTCTCAACTGAATATTTATTCATACAAGGCCAGATTTCCTTCATACACTTCAGCCGTCACAACACATTACAACTGAATCCAGAAACAGAGAGGGTCTAGCTTTTCTGCCTAGACATTATAGAAATTGGATACAATGATGCCACTTCTCCCACTAAATTTTGGTTTTGTATTGCCAAACAGTTATTTCTCACAAAGCCATGCTATTTTTGTTAACATGTATGGGTTTGTTGATCATTTTTAATGAATACATACTTATATATTTCTTTTCAATTTCAGTTCAAAGACAATATTGTTAGGTGTGACCCATGTAAACAAAAGCCTTTGAAATCCTCAGTGATTTGGGGATTCCTGAGACCAAAAAGTTCAGAAACTACTGTTTAGGGTTCTCTTGGACCTTGAAGTGCCCGCAGCCCTGCCATGCCCGCGTGGCTCTGTGGGTGGTTGTAGTTCATGAGCATTGACCCGGCCAGGGAGCCTGAGTGCTGGCTGGCGCTTTCAACCTGCTCTGACTTACCTCCTCCTCCTGCACTCGGTTTCTTGCGGCCATCGTCTCGATCATTTCGATCATCCAAGGCATCAGCCAAGTTAAAATCATTATCTGTGGTGGGCCCCAAAAGATAAAAGGGAAAGTCAACAGGTTAAGCTACAGAAAGCTCTTTGGACATTGGACCAAAGAGAGTTCCATGTTGTAATCCTTTCCTGCCCTCCTCAGAGCAGCCATGTTACCTGCAGGCTTGGCTGGAGCTCTGGTCGCTACTGGCCTCTTGGTTGTGGTGGTGCCATGGTCCCATCTCTCTAAAAGGGGAGGGAGGGCAGCAAGGAAAGCACGCTTAGTAACAAAATACAGCAGCCCCTTCAGGGCTCAGGTATGTCACATCATGAGTATGGTGCCACTGTCTCAGTCCTTGAGGCCCCTCTAAGGCTTCTGACAATCCCTTGGAGGAGGACAAAGAAATGCAGGAGGGTTAAATGAGAGGAGTTCTGTTCACTTTTCTCCGGAGGACTGGTGGTAAGGTGGACATGCTCCCACCACATAGGACCTGCGGATTCGTGGAGCTACATATTCAGCCTAGATCTGCTGGATCGGACCCCATGGTCCAGGGAGTTCAAGAGCTTGAGCACGACCCGTGGGGGCTTCGGGCTTTGGTTTCACCACTATCAACCTGGCACCAGAACCATAAATAATACTGCCCAGGGATGGACTAAGGTTATGTTCCCAGGCAGGTATTGGAGTGCCTTATCAATTGAAAGTAGAACACCAACAGAATATTTTATGGAAGCAGGGTTGTTACTACTGTAACTATTAGGTTTTTCAGCTCAACTGAAATACCTCTATTCTAATAGTCTCTTTTCTTGAGCTTAAAGAATGTTCCACAAACTGTTCTATAACTCGAGGCAGCAGAGGGAAAGGAAATTTAAGGGAGAAGAAAGGCAGACAGTACTGTATACAGCAAGCAATCAGAAAAGAAACAGCAATATTTGGGGGGGGGGTGGAAATCTCAGTGAGTTTTACAGATCAATAATGTAATCCTCAGGTGCCTGGGTGGCTCAGCTGGTTAAGCGTTTGACTCTTGATTTCTGCTCAGGTCATGATCTCATGGGATGTGGCATGGAGCCCAGCATTGGGCTCTGCTCTGGGTGTGCAGCCTGCTTAAAATATTCTCTCTCTCTCTCTCTCTCTCTCTCTCTCTCTCTCGATGATGATGGTCGTGGTGGTGGTGGTGATGGTGGTGGTGGTGGTGTAGTAATCCTCAAACTGCCTAGGTAATTTACAATGCATTACTTGTCTTTTCTAGATAGGGCCTAAGGATTGTCTGTGGATCAAGGAAATGTAAGTCTGAATCTTCTGGAAAGAGTATAAAAACACAGTAGGACAAGACCTGATATTTCTTACTAGGTAGAAAGGGAGACATTACATCATGATGAGGGTCAATCCACCAAGAACACCGAACAATCCTAAACCTATATGCACCAAACAACAGGGTGAAAACACACGGAAATAAAACTGATAGAGCTAAAAGAAAAAAAAAAAAAAACCACACAATTATAATTGGGACTTCAATGCTCCACCATCAGCAACTGACAGAACTACTAGAATGAATATCAGCAACGACAGAGAACTGAACCACACAATCAATTAAACATCCACTCCTCTCAGTTGCATCAGGATAAGGAATTTTTTAAGCACACGTGAAACATTCACCAGAAAACCAAGTTCAATAAACTTAAAAGCACTGAAATTATATAGAGTGGGGTCTCTGATGGTAATGGAATCAAACTAGAAACAAAAATGCCATAAGAAAACAAGAAAATCTCTAGGTACTTAGAAATAAACAATACATTTCCAAATAAAACCAGGGTCAGAGAGAAAGTATCACAGAAAAAATTTTAGACATAACTATATGAAAACCACCACCACCACTAAAACACACAGGATGCAGCTAAAGTAGTGCTAAGGGAAGTTTCTAGCATTAAATGCTTAAATTAGAGATGAAGAAAGGTCTCAGATCAATAATCTAAGTTTTTAACTCCAGATGCTAGAAAATGAAGTGCTAAATAGCAGGGAAACAAACCCAAAGCAAATAAGACAGAAGGAAGTAAGAGCACCTAGAAAACACCCATCGCTATCATCAGACTTACTGGTGAAAGACTGAATGCTCTCTTCCTAAGATCAGGAACAGGGCACAGATACTGCTCTCACCAGTCTGATTTAATATAGTACTAGAAGTTCCAATATTGTGACAGGAAATAAAAGACATACAGATTGGAAAGACAGAAGTAAACCTATTCCTAAATTGCAGATGGCATGATCTTCTACATAGAAAATTCTAAGAAATCTACAAAAAAAAACTCTTAGAACCACTGAGTTCAGTAAGGTCTCAGGATACAGGATCAACAATATCAAAACCAATCATATATACCAGCAATAAACATATGGAATCTGAAAAAACACATTTCATTTACAATTGTGCCAAACAAAATTATATATTTAGGTGTACACTTAATAACTATGTATAGGACCTGCACGGTGAATGTTATAAGAAGCTAATGAGAAAGACTGAAAAAGACCTAAATAAATGGAGAGACATACTACGTTCATGGATTGGAAGACTCAAAGACATTAATTCTCTCTAAATTGTTCTATATGTTTAACACCAGTCCTACCAAAATCCCAGCCAGTTTCTTGATAAACTTACTCTAAAATTTGTATGGAAAGGCAAAAGCCCCAGCATAGCTAAAACCATCTTGACAAAGAATAAAGTGGAAGGAATCAGTCTACCCACTAGTAAGGCTTACTTTATAGTTATGGTCATCAAGACATCAGCAGAGGGCAGACACACAGATCAACGGAACAGAATTAAAAATCCAAAAAGACCTGCCCAAATATTCTCACAAGATTTTGGTAAGGTGCAAAGGCAAAAATGGCAGGAGGAGAGTCTTTTCAACAAATGATGTCCATCGGTGGAGCAACTAGATATCCAAAGGAAAATATAATGAACCTTAACCTAATCTTCCTGCTTTATACAAAAATTAAACTCAAAATGGATGAAATTTTTTGTCTCAAATGTAAAGTGTAAATCTACACAACTTTAAGAAAACAGAAAGAGCTCCTGGGTGGCTCAGTGGGTTAAGTGTTCGACTTTGGCTCAGGTCATGATCTCATAGTTCATGGGTTCAAGCTCTGCATGGGGCTCTGTGCTGACAGCTCAGAGCCTGGAGCCTGCTTCGGATTCTGTGTCTCCCTCTCTCTCTCTGCCCTTCCCCTGCTCACACTCTGTCTCTGTCTCAAAAATAAACACTAAAAAACGTTTAAAAAAAATAGAAGAAAATCTCTGGGACTGAGGGCTTGGTGAAGAGTGCACAGACTTGCTAACAAGACCATGCTGCGCGCCCGCGTGCACACACACACACACAAATGATAAGCCAGACCACATCAAAATTAAAACATTTCCTTTTGTGAAGGACCCTGTTAATAAGATGAAAAGACAAGCTACAGGTTAGGAGAAAATACTAGCAAAACACATATATGACTAATGACTGTGTCTAGAATATATGAAGAGCTCCTAAAATTCAAAAGAAAAATACAAACAATCCAATTAGAAAATGAGCAAAAGACATGCAAAAAAATTTCACCAAAAAGTTTATACAGATGTCCAATAAGCACATATGATTAAGGAAATGCAAATTAAAATCACAAGGAGATACCATCACATACCTACCAGAATGACTCGGATATAGTGGTAACACCAAGTACGAACTGACAAGGGCAGAGAAGCTGGACCACTCACACACTGCTGGTGGGAACATCACATGGTACAACCACTCTGGACACCACGTTGGCAACATTCTTTAAAAACTAACCCTACAACTATCATATAGACCCAGCAATTATACTCCTGGGCATTTACCCCAGAGAAAGGAAAACTTACATTCACGCAAAAACCTATATAGAAATGTTTACTGCCAAAAACTAGAAACAACCCAGATGACCTTCATAAACAAGCTGTGGTACATCTACATCATGGGACCCTTGTTATTCAGCAAGGAAAATGCAACAAACTATTGATACTTGCAATAACTTGGATAGATCTCAAGGGAATTCTGCTGAGTGAAAAAAAAATTCTGTGCATTAACAGTGAAGAAATCTTTGATTTAAGGGAAAACAGACAGATGCCACAGAAATCGCTCTCAGACAGTAATCTCTCAAAGAGTGTTCCATGAATCCCTCGGGGTCTGTGGGGTCATAACTATTTTCATAATCCTTTTCAGATGTGCTTTGCCCTTTCTACAAGGTGCAAAAGCAATAGCGTGTAAACCAACTGGCTCTTAGCATGAACCATGGCAGTAGCACCAAACGGTATGAGAATGCATTAGATTCTTCACTACACAATCGCAGGTGAAAGGGAATGACAGTTCTGGGGCACCGGCGGGGCTCAGTCAGTTAGGCAGCTGACTGTTGATCTCGGCTCAGGTCACGACCTTGCAGTTTGTGAGTCCAGTCCGAGGCCTGCGCTGGGCTCTGTGCTAATAGCAGGGAGCCTGTTTGGGATTCTCTCTCCCCCCACCTCTCTGTCTGCCCCTCCCCTATTCGTGTGCGTGCACTCTTTCTCTCAAAATAAATAAATAAACTTAAAGAAAGAGAATGACGGTTTTACTTAATGTCCTAGATGTACACAGCCTGTAGAATGCCAGCCCCTTGAGTAGGGGTGAGGGGCAGAAACCAGGTCACTCTCAAGATCAGGTTATGACATATGACAGAGGAGAAGGGATTTTGCAGATATAAGTATGATGCCAATCAATATGAATGAATTACTCAAAAGGGAGAATATTCTGAGTGATTCAGACGTAATCAGGTGCAAAGCCCTTGAAAAGAGGGCTTTCAGCCTTCCCTGAGCTGATGTTAAAGGTAGCTGACACTCACTCTCTTGTTGACCTTGAAGAAGTAGCCACTAGATCTGTAGCTGCACAGAAATGAATTTTGCCAAGAAAACTGACAGTGAGAGTATGTTACCTTTAATGGGAAAAGGGACTGTGTGGATGTGATCAAGCTAAGGACTCTGAGATGAAAACATTATCCTGGACTGCATAGGAAGCCCCAGGTAATTATAAGGGGAAGATATAGGCAGGAGAGCCATGGGGAGGAGACCGTGATGGGGGAAGCAGGGCTGAGAGTGAGGGAGAAATATGAAGACGCCACTTTGCGGGCTGTGAGGATGGAGGAGGGGCCACTAGCAACAGAATGCAGGTGGCCGGCCTCCAGAAGCAGGAAAAGGCAAGGAAACCGATTTCCCCCT